GTGACTAATTTGGAGGTTGTTGAAATTGATACTCGACGTATTTCAACTTCTGAAGATTTATTATATCTGAGATGGCAAAGTCCACTTCCACCTCTCAACGGAAAATTACGTGATTATGGTATCCAATCATGTTACAACGTATCAACGTATCCAACATATCACAAGGAACATTGTAAAATTATTGCAAATCATTTCAATACATCTTGTGACTTATGGGATGATTATATCTGTAAAGATGTTCCAATAACAACTTCTGCAATAATTCAGGTATAAAAATGTTAAATTCTTTTGATTTTTAATATTTCTAGATAAATAATATATATGATGTATGACATAATGAATTAAAAAATTGATAAAAAATTTAATGCAAAATACAAAATACATATTTATAGGTTTTTGCGTACAATGTAAATGTTACTGAACCTGGCGCTTTGACTTCCGTGACTGAGGAAATGCTTGTTAATATAGGTAAGACTTCAAATTTAAAAAACGTTTAAAACTTATAAGAATATAATAAATTTTCTTCTATTATAAATTTTACAATTAATTATCTATAAAACAATATTGTTATACAATATAACAATATATGTAGACACATTTTTATATCAATTATTCCTAATTTATTTATGTAATTTATTAAATCTATGTGAAAAGATTACAAACACATACATATCATTTTTTAATATATAGTTCTTTTGCCTAAAGACGCGTTCTCCAACGTTCTCTATATTTGTTTATCTTGGAAAGAGGTTTTTTTAGTCTTTCTATACTTTCTATACCGTATCGCTATAATCAGTGGCAGATTACAGTGGCAGACATTTTAAAACAGGCCTGGCAAAGCATGGCTCGCAAGAGTTCAAGATACATGGTCAGTCTCGTGCACGTATGATGCACTGATTCATTTTTATTATTCAATACAACCGACTTGGCTACATTATGTCATATAGCGAAGAAAAAAATCAAAATTTCAGAACAGTTTATGATGGAAAGTAGTCTCCATATCATCGTGACTGACAGCCGTCACAGAAATCGGTTGATGAATCGAATTGAGAAGCGTTCAATGGAGGGGATGGCTCGCGAGCCACGCTTTGCCAGACTTGTTTTAAAACACCTTTAATAAAACAGACAACAAAGTGATGATTTTAAAAAGGATTTTCTTAAATCTCATTTTCTGAAATATTTTAGCAATATTGATGATAATATAAGGACGATATAAATCATGAAGAAGCAATGATTGCAATACTGTGATACAATTTTTCTTGTATGATATGGGAAAAACTATGTGAGAAAGTATATGAGAAAATCTATGTGGGAAGTACATGGGAAAAACTATGTGGAAAGTATATGGGAAAACCTATGTGGGAATTAGATGGAAAAAATTATGTGGGAAGAAGATGGGAAAAACTATGTGGGAACTACATGGGATAAACTACGTGGGCGTTAGATGGTGAAAAACTATGTGGGAACTAGATGGGAAAAACTATGTGGGAAGAATATGAGAAGATCCATGTGGGGAGTATATCAAGTCATACAAGAAAAATTTTTCTGATAGAATGAATAAATTTGCAAAACACTAAAGCCAACGTATTATAAATCAAGAAAAACGATGTTAAAAATAATATATAGCATATTGAAAAATTAATATTTTAATGTTGAATCTAAAAAACAAATTAAAATATAATTTTTTCATAATTATTTTCACAATTTACGATTTTTTATCTTTTTCTTTTTTAGCTAGGTTTTTGAATCTTAATCATGAATCTTAATCATAAAATCTTCGATGACATTCCAGAAACGTCTTTTAGTTTTATTAAATATTTCAAATGTTTTACTCATGTTATATACAGTAATTTATTTAGCGTTCTCTTAAAATTGATTCATAGTGTGTTGCAAATTACATGAATTGCTTATCCGATATAAAAACTATTAAAAAATTATTACATTTTAGAACCAGATGCACCTGGTAATTGCACTTTTACAATCAACAATAACAGCGTAGTTGACTTGATGTGGTTTCATCCTTGGAAAACAGGAAATCGTTTGCGATCTTTCCACGTTCGAGTAGTAGAAACCTTCTCAAATCTTAGAAAGCTTTCGTTGCAGAAACCTATTAATGAGAGTACCCAATATATGACATATGAATACCCGGTGACACAATACATGCGTAACTACAGCAAGCAATTATATTTGTACCCGTCAACCAAATATCTCGTTTATATACAAACTGTGACAGTTGCAAATAGATTTAGTAACTCAACTACCATGGAAATTTATACGCCATCAACCGCATGTTTTGAGACCGATTTAAACTACACGGTGCGCAAGTCTGATTCTACTATTTTATTAAATGTACCGTCTGTTTTGAATGACACGCAAGGCAGTATGATGCATGTAATAGTAAAAGGTCCTAATCCGTGCGACCAACATTTGAAATTGTCTAAAAATCTACAAATGCAATCTGAATTGAAAATGAATGAAACCGCTTGGCAAGTTGTTGAAGTTTCGGTATGTATATCGAAAATTTGTATCATTTATGAATATGAATTTTACATGTAATAAATAAATAAACTTATCTTGAATTAAATAATAATTAAATAAAGCTATCTGCCAAAACGCTATTAAACACTATTACACAACTATTTTGTATGTACCATGAATTTTCATAAAATTAATAACAATTATTAATAACATGTAATACACAACTATTTTATTAATAGTAAGAATTAATAGTATGAAAAATATTTATGCATATGTTTGTGAAAATCAATATCTTTACCTTTAATTATGACAGACCAGAGAGCTCGCTGGCAAACAATTCGTGATTGGTGACAATAAAACGTACGGAAATGGGAAAAATTGTCCATTAAAATCTAACAAATCTTATCAAGTAATAATCATGATAACTGAACAAAATTCATCTAACAAGCCAATTATACTTGCAAAATTAATCCGTATCGGTGAAATTCCATCTATGCACCACGGAGTGTGGTTTATACCTCTTACAATATATCTCGTCACAGCAAGCATATCTTATTATTTGTGTCGAAGGTAGTCTTTTCTCCCTCTTATTTAAAGGATAGCGACATTACTTGTTCCAATCTATTGATATTCGTCGTATAAATATTAAAATAAAGAATTGTTTATTAAATTACATTCTGATAGAATATGTATTTTATTTATGCTATTTAAATATTATTTTAACAGAAAGTGTCATAAATCTATTGAAGATCAAATGCAAAATGAAATAGCTTGTCAGAACATTCAAAACGCTGAAGATGATAATGAATATGAGTCGATACCATCTATTAGGTATTCAGAGCAGGATTTGTCAAGTATTTCTGAAGAACAATCCTTATCGAACGGAATTATTCCGGAAGAGCTAGTATGTATCATCGCGAATGATAACGAAAAAGAAGAAGAAATGAAATCATTGGTCAAGGTGAAAGATTTCGAAGATTATGTCAAACGGGCAATACAATCAGAATCGTTGGCTAAACAATATAAAGTAATTTTTTCTTATCTTATTTGAAATTGTCATATTATTAGATTTTTTTAAATACTTTTTTTAAAACTTTATATTTATTAAGTTATATAGTTTAAAATATTCAATTATATATATTTATGTAATAATGTAAAATATGGAATATTATTATGTAAAATATATAAAAACAAAATGACTTTTCTGTTTTTGATATACTTATAAACTTATTATTACATATAATAATACGGAAAGATATTAATTTTTCCAAAGATGCTGTCAAAAGGACAAACGCAGCCATGGAATTATGGAAAACTGCCACAGAACGAATTGAAGAATAGATACAGAAATGTCATAGCGTGTATGCACAAATTAATTATACATACATAAATTGCATATGTAATAACAAATTAACAATTTATTAATTTTTGCAGACGACAGTACGCGAGTAATATTGGAAAAACTTCCAGATAACGCTTATTCCGATTATATTAATGCTAATTACATCACAGTAAGTCATGATTTATCAAGAGTATCACAACTTCGTAAGCTATATAATTGTTTGTCATTGTATTTGTACATTGATAATGCTAATTTTTTAAATTTATTAATAATTATTCAAAAGGGATATAAAGTAGACAAGCGTTATATAGCAACGCAAGGTCCTAAACCAAATACCGTACTCGATTTCTGGCGCATGGTTTGGCAGGAAAACGTTCTCATTATTTGTATGGTGACAAATATTATTGAAAACGGAAGGGTAAATTTTCTTGTTAAATCACAATACTTATAAGTATCAAAACGTGGAAATCTTATGTATTACACTAAGAGTACATGTCATAAAACATGAGAAAATAATGCGAAAATTCAAAATTCATATCAACTTTCTTGTATCAAGCTGAATATCAAGGTTTATATTATAATTTTTACAGATAAAATGCGAACAGTATTGGCCGGATATTGGTAAAAAGAAAAAATACGGCGATATCATTGTGTTAAACGCAAAACATAATATTTTTGCTGATTATTGTATTAGAACATTTCATGTCACTTGCGGAGAGGAAACTCGAAAGGTATCTACACTTCTATTTCTTATTCAACATAATAATTCTTAAATTGAATCTTATAATAACTTTAGATAGAGCATCTTCATTATACGGCCTGGCCAGACCATGGCATCCCATTGTACACACACTCCATAGTCATATATTTAAAGAAACTATTGGCGATATCACCTGGAGATGGCCCCGTGGTAGTCCATTGTAGTGCTGGTATTGGGAGAACTGGTATCATTATTTTATGCGATATTTGTCTCCGACGAGCAGCTGCTGAAAAGGTAATGAGGACATTCTTTTATAGTTACTTTTACAGCACTGTTTGAATTTGTTAGTCATATTAATTATTCTCTTCGATATACGAAAGATTATCCGAATAAAATTATTTAGATTATCGACGTCTTTTCCGAAACGGCATCCATTATAAGCGAAAGAGCAAACATGATAAATAATACACAACAATATATATTAATACATTTAATATTGGTTGAATGTTTATTTTCTATTCCGGTAACGTTACCGTGTAATGAACATTTACCGGTACGAATTAAGGAATTGAAGGAACAATTATTAATTCAACAACAAAGGTATATGACTGAGTCAGCTATGATTTATTTTTATGTCTGTACAAATTAAGACGCATAAGTTTCTTAAATCATAATTCTCAGATTACAGAACATCGCTTGGCAAGATAAAGTCCTACGACAAGTTACGCCTCTACCATCGTTGTCGGAGCGCAATCGAGCTAAAAATAGATTTCCAGAATTGATTTCAAGTTTGTTGGCGTATATTCTAATGACATTGCAAATCATTTTATGGATTTGTCACATTCTTAATTTTTAATCGTTAACAACGCAAGAAAAAACAAATTTACATAATTAATAATACATTTTTACAGCGATATAAATATTAGATATCTTTATTTCCTATTTTATAGATATGACTAATAGAATATATTTAACAAGATATCCAGAATCCGACGAGGATAGTGATTATTTTCCTGCTGTTTACGTGGATGGAGTAAGACTTCAGAATCAGTATATAGCTACGCAACTTCCTATGCCTTTGACACTTAATGATTTTTGGCGAATGATTGCCGAATTCAAAATTGAACTTATTCTTATGCTCCAACCGCCTGACTTTCAAGATTTTGTACGAATGTTTTCTAAATATTTCTTTGTATATTAAGTAAAAATATATTTATCAGATACTGAATGTATTTGTAGAATATAAATTACACATTTTCTAGAAATATTTATTTTGTTATTTGATTTTTTATATTTTTTATTATTTGAATAAAATATAAATTAGTTAATTAAAATTTATAATGTATACGATTTGGTAGAGTGTCTAATACAGATCATCACAGAAACATAAATGTTCAATATAAATTAATCAATGTAAGTGGTATTGTATAGATAAATATATTCTTGAATTTTTAGACTTGCTGCGCAATCGCATTTTCAAGCGGCGAATTTAAACCGACTCCATATTTGAACATCACGGCGAGAGAAGTCGTGAAAATGGAATATTATACGTCACAAAAATTACTATTGATTGACAATTCTGAAGTAAGATCAATGACAATCTACGTTTTCTGTTAACAATTTTGTATGTAGCGGAATAACACTTTATTGTAGAAATCGTCGAGAGAACAACCTGTAACTATATTGACTTTAACGGAATGGAAATCTGGAAGAAATCAATCACCACCGCCGGTTATGGTGATGGTGAACTTTTGGCAAGCTGCGGAGAAAATCATAAGAAGCGATGGACCTATTGCCACGCTTTGCCAGTATGGACCAATCTACTTTTCAAAATCTAAGAGAAAGCTATGTTTAGATTTTTACGTTTCTTGCAATTGTATTTAATAATAAATAATAACTGCAAATTCCTTCTGAATAATCGATTTTAAATTTATGTTTTCGAATCAGTTTTTCTTAGAATTAAAATAATTATTTTTCAGTGACGGTGTGACTGGATGCGGTCTGTATCTAGCGCTGAGTTTCTTGTTGGAACGGATGGCCATCGAAAGAGAATGTGATGTTTGTATGGCGGTGCGAGCTGTTAAACGATCGAGACCAGATTTTGTTTCTTCTCAGGTAGTATCAATTCATCGCAATAATAAAAATTATTGATCATAATTTTAATTTTTAATAATACTAGAGTTTAATCATTGTGTATGTTCCATCATATATACGGAAAATGTCAAAATAGAAATAATATAAATATTACAACGAAAAAATATTTATGTATGTTGAAAGTCTATTTTTTAATTTTTAGGAACATCTGGAATATCTATATAATGCCGCATTGACATTTTTTGAATACTTTGAATCTTATGCAAATTTCTCTTAAGATACAAATAATTTATCAGTGTAAAACATTGAAATGACATTTTTTTTAAATAATAAAATTAGAAAATTGAATGCAAATATGGTACTACTACATATATGTTAAGTAATTAAATAGTAATACATTAAATATATGAAATATGAACTCTCTTTAAAAACGTAGAAAATAAATATTTTATGTCACAAAGTATGTGAAGTACTATTATACTTAATGAATATATTTCTATGCCTTCTTCGGTTTCTTTCATTACTTCGATACTTCATTACTACTTTCAAGGTAAACTAGCTTCAGGTTTATAGATATATTATCATGACATATTCAACATGGCAATTTTACAATGTTTTAATTCAATAATACGCAAACCTGCATACATTTAATTTAAAAAATTAAGTGAAATAAACTTTGCGAATAATATCGTTACAAGATAGAAATCGCGAGACTATTCTAATACATTTAAAATAAATTTCAAGAAATTGCTTTAAATACATTTTTTTATAATTGCATTAATTATTTTTATTATGTCAATTATTTTTATAAATAAATAATTTTTATAAATAATTTATAATTGATTTAATGCAACTAATTAAATCCACAGTATCATATGCATTAATCAATAAATAATTTATTCAGCATTCTATGTCACTGTTCAATATTTTGCTAAAAAATTTGATTATAATTACGATATATTAAAAGTTACATAAATGCAAACTTAATTATAAAAATTTTATCCAGCAGCGATCAAAACTGGGTTAGTTGACTGGATAAAATATTACAATAGATAAATTTTTCTTATATGCTGATCATATTAAATTTTTTCTTGAAAAATGAGTATATACATATTCACATGTATGAATCTTTTATAACATGTTTGTAGCCAATCTATTTAAGAATATAAGCATTATAGCAGTTTTTACGTTATGAAATTTATTTGTTCCAAAAACATGATCCATGCAAAATGTTATTTACAAAAATTATTACAAAAATTTATAATAATGCATATTATAAGTTATTAAATACAATTTTTAAAGCATTTATGTTTTATATATAATATTCAAAGATAAAAATATTATCAATGAAGCAAATTATTTTTATTTTTTCTATACTAATTATTACTTCTAAATTATTGCTAGTATTTATAAAATTAGTTAATATCTTTTATAGTTTAAATATATTTTATATAAAAATAGAAAATTGAAGGAACACTGAACAAATGTAATTAAGAGGTAATGATAATTATCGATCAGTTTCATATTCCTTTATTAATGAGTTGTTTAAAATCATCAGTCGCTAAAATGACGCAATAAAAATAGATAATTGCAAATTTAGTAGATAGTTTTATCTTACTTCTTTTAAAAAATACGTAGTAAAATAATGTTGATAAATTTCGCGTTATCACTTTAAAATTTGAATGTTCGAAGGCTTCCTTTTTTTTTTCAAAATCTCATTTTGGCGATAATGATCAATTCGTACAATGTTCGCGCGTAAAAAAACCGGTAATTTCGCAAATCTAATAATCAATGACCGAGACTGCGAATGTTCCCTGCCTCTTCGAAAGTCTTTCATCTCGCCGGCAGAAGGCGCCGCCATCGTAGACCTCACTGATAAACAGCTCATGTCACAAAGAGACGCGAGCCGTCGCGACGACGCAAACGGAGTACCTCCGACGTAGAATTCTCACGTGCATTTTCACACATTTCCGGTCACTTTTAGTGAACCCGCCGCGCTCGAGAAATACGACTTTCGGTGAATCTTGTGAATCGTTTGACCGTCGAAGGCCAGGAAAAATTGAGAGAAACCGGGACGTATTTCATGCGACTGTAGTCCCATCGCAGAGCAGCAGGTAAGAATCTCTCGAGTAAAACTACGTGCGTGCGCAAAGTGAACACGTGGCGTCGCGACGGCGCGGACGCGTCACCGACGCGACAGATCGTCATCTCGTTCGAGATGCATCTCGTTCTCCAGCTCCGTGTTGGGCATCGTCGCCGTTAATAGCGTTAGCCAAGCTTAACGATCGACATGTCGTAACTCAAGGCCGCGGAGGACATGTTGCCGCTCTCGAGCTCGATCCCTCGAAATCGCCGCGCGAGATTTCCCGCTCGCGTTCGAACGAGCTGCGACGAGCGTGACCGAGGAGAGAAGAAAAAAAAGATAAAAAAACAGGAAAAGCAAGATCTCCTCCGGAGTGACGCACGCGAGAACGCGGTAATGCGTCGACGGCGCGGTGGAGGCAACGAGTGGACTCCGTTCGATTCCGCTTGTTTGTTCATTTTATATTATATAAGAAACACGCTCTGTGAATGTACAATCTTGGACGCCATCTTAAATGAGCGATGCGAATTCATGCCGGAATTCGAATGCGCTGCAAGAATCCCCGAATCGCGGTGCAACTTTTGCTCCATTCGAAACGTAATACGGACGAAAATTACAAAATTTGATGGAAGCAATCCGCAGCTTTTCTCCTTTTCTACAAGAAATCTGAGTCAATTAAGTTTTATTTAATTCAGTATTCCTTATTATAATGAAAAAACGAAGACATACACATTACATCATTTACCATGTTTCATTTGCCACAGATAAACAATAATCATTTCCGCATGCTTTTTTCGTGTGTCAGTTTTATTTCGTGTTTCACTTTTTATTTAAAAATGTTTTAAACATATCAATCGATATGTTGCAACACATTAAATAAATGCTCATTGACACAGAAAAGAAAACGTGCCGTAATTAAGAAATCCCTGTAAACACTGAATAGATTAGATTATAATCAATGATGACATTTTTTTATTGCATGAGATATTAAAGACTATTCTATAGATCGTAAAATTTATTAAAATCTGGAGTTAAATTGAATTTTTTATGTACATAAACCAAAAAAAGGATAAAATATCTTAAAAATAGATCAAATATCTTAAAAATATGCTGAGCATTTTTTTTTACACAGTGTTATGAATGATAAATATAAATGCTGCGATATCTTTATAATAATTCGATTTATTGAACGAATTATTGTTTAAGTTAATCAAGCATTAAATTTTAGTGATAAAAAAACGTAAATTCTGCTAAGAGCAGCTAACATGTCCCGGAGATTGAACGATGGAAAATTTTACAATTTCTCAGCTTGGATACACGGAAGATACGTATTATTACGGTATCACGATATCAGCTATCAGATGGCTGATATATCGTGCAAAGTAGGTCTTCCAGCAGAGTAGCACCTGTATGTACCGCTTGTGATTTTGCGTAAGAATTTTCCAGGCATTATTAATGTATGACATGATACATCGGCTTTCTGCAATCTATAAATTGTATAGATGTAATGTTTTACATAACTGAAAGACCTTTGCGTAGGAATTTATCCACATAATCATGGAAAATTTTTTTTTTTTATTATTTAATGTATACTAATATATATTATTTCTTTTTCTGGTTAATCTTGAGTTTTCCTATGCAGGATTATATTCTTGATATTTATTCAGAAGCGTTTACGTCTCTTTACTGTCATTTATTGTTCCGTACGTTTAAGAAATATATTTGTTGGAACGTAAACAGAATGTTTACGTCAAGATCAGAAAGCTTCGTTTGACGGAGACGCGTTATTACGATGTAATAAACAGCTGTGCTATCTTCACTGTGATTAGATGTTAACGACCAAGTTCGGCACATGTTTGCTCGTAGTCGAAATTAAAGGAAACTTTGACTCGAACTTCGGACTTTTTAACACGTTGTCTTGCTTATTCTTCACATAGCAGCGACATCATACAATTGCGTCTAACTCTGACAATCGATCCGACCGTGGCCCAAGTTGACAGCAATTTAAAATCGCTTCTGTTCTTTTATAACAAACCGCGGGGTAGTTCTGATTAGGATTAAGATCTTTCTATCGTAGCAGAAGGATCATCTTGTTCTTTCTTACTTTCACCGAAATTTCGGAATTTACGATCATGACGCATGAAAGTGTCTTTAAAGGCACTTTCGAAATCGTTTGACATTTCGAGATATCTCAAGGCCAATTGATTTTGTTGTTATTATATTTTGAGATTTATATGTTTTTTTATATTAAAAATTTATATTAGAAATAATACTTAATACTATATAACAAGAATAATGATAAATATATCAAGAGGATCCTTATACATTGATGTTTCATATTTTTATAAAACAACTATTTTTATAAAATACTATTTACTTAAATAATAAAATATAATTTCAAAGCTAAATAACTATGTTGAATAATAAATTTACATGAATTTTAACGTAAAAAAATAATAGCAAATGATGAATGCGAAATAAAGAAGTCACGATAGACCTTTTTTAGTGTGTTTGACAGAACGGTGTGTCGCAAATACCATCGTCGAGAAATCTTCTAACGATAAGTGAAGACAGCATCTTTTCAGGGTGGAAGATGACGTCACCAAAGAATGTCAAGGCAAGTAAGATGGAAACTGCAACTAGAAGCTGGACAGCGAGACCGATTTTAAGCCGGGATTTTATGGAAGTCCCTCCATTGCAGGAGGTCTACATCGGTATCTTGAAGCAACGGAAGGATACCTCCAAGGCGATTAAAAACATAACTGCCATTTTGCCAGGATTCGCTCATTTGAAACGCTGTTTCAACGGCAAACTGCTTCTGGCTCCGCTTCGTTCAGATAAATCATTAGGTGAGAAAGGCGAAAACATTTCTCTCGATGAAGAACAACTTAAGACCCAGCTGAAGGAAAGAGGATTTGAGCTCTCCTTGCTGGAGGAAAAATTCCAGGTAACGAAGGTGCCAGCCAAGTCGCCAAAAACGAAGTCACAGGCTAGCGAAGCTTCGAAAATCTGGCCGGTAAACTTTCATCCCGATCAGATGATCGAAAGCCTGATCGATGGTTCGATCTTCGATGAGGATTGTTTGCACGCGATTGAACGAATCATGTTGATGGTAATAGAAGCTGCCAAATCGGAGGCGATCGGCAACAAGCGTTGTACCGGCGCTGCGGTAATTGTCGATCCCGAGGATGGAAGAATCCTGACAGTGGCCGCCGCGAGAATCGATAAACATCCCATGTGGCATGCCGCTATGCTGGCGGTGGATCTCATTGCTAGACTTCACGGTGGTGGCGCGTGGCAATTGAACGATGAGGAATGCCATGGTCTCACGAAGAGGCGAATAAACGAAGTCGACGAGAAAGATATACTCGGTGACGAAAGGAGTGATACAAACGCCATGACTGAAGATCATAGCTTGATGAGACGGTTGAGAAAAATCAAAAGGAGATACGAGGAAGAAACACCGCTTTGTTATCCGAGATCTCTATCCTCGCTACAGTTTCCGGTTCAAACATCCCTCAAGATGACGCAAGTCGCGCGGAAGGGACGAAGAAACAATGGTACTAAAATCGAGAGCTCAAAGCAAGAGGAATGCGAAAGTAACGCGAAGAAGTGCGGGCCGTATCTTTGTACGGGTTATTGGGCATTTCTGTTAATGGAACCGTGTCCTTTATGCGCCATGGCGTTGCTGCATTCCAGAGTCTCGCGAATCTTCTATGGCATTGCCAATGAAACCGTCGGAGTTTTGGGCTCCAAGGCAATTTTACATACATTGCCAGGTTTAAATCATCGATATCGAGTCTGGAATGGAATCTTGGAACGAGAGTGTCGACAAACGGTGGAAGAAATCAACGCACATAGAGGTCGCAGCTGAATGACAAATTTGACATGGTTCCATTGAAAGATAATAATGTTCTAAGTAACTACACGGACAATTGATCATCGCAGACTTTGAGACTAAAGAAGATATTGATGCAGTCGAACAGAACAGGAGACAAACAGGAACGAGGCGTTGTTGACGTACTCTGTTCGTTTGTCATACTTACTAATGACTTCTCATGTGAATTACGTTATCTATGCATACAGATGACATATTATAATGACATTTTTGTGATACGTTATCTCACTTGCATAATACGTTGTTCATCCGACATTAAAAAATAAATTTACTTCCATAGAAGAAAGTGCAATCGTGACTCTAATTAATATATCCTATAACCTACTCAATGTTCTCAATGTTCTAGCATTGCTTTCGTTATATTATTCCGAAAAAAACAATTATACAAAAAACAATCTTATTTATTATATAAAGTTTTCGATATTTTCCGTAGAATATTTATTACAAACAAATGGATTATTCCATAGACTTTTGACGGCTGATTATTTCTCGCCGATTCGCCGGTCTCGCGGCAGCAACTTAGATAGTTGCATGTTGCAACCGGTTTTATAATTTCAATCGAAAACAAGACGGCGCAAAAGACTACACATGATACGAACGTGCATTCGGCCATAATGACTCTCGGTATATATATGACCTTGATGTCTTGACGCTTGCATGTGCGTCCGCATCTGCTGTCGCTTCTTGGTCGGTGTGCTTGGCGAATTAACACTTGTATTTGCTGACATACCCAACATGACGTTCGATCATTCTCCAAAGATTGTAAAAATCATTTCGGTATATTCTTTTGTCTTTCGCTTTTGCTGGCAGAACGTACTCTTCAATGCAAAATCAAATCTTGATGATGCTTTGGACCATAGCTAAGATATTTTTTTATCCGAGCTTTTCAGCCTATTTTAAAAAAAGAAACACGATTCTTAATTGACTGCGATTGTAAATGTCAGTTTATTAACTACACTAATTTTTTTACAATTAATTTTCGTCATTATTATACGGTGCACCATTTTATAATACAAATTGCTTTATAAAAGATTTTCTACAAGGATTTACATATTCGTGCTGATTGTAAGACAAATACGAATGTCGCGCTTCAACGTTCGCTTCAACGTTATTCGATAGCACAATTCACTTCGCGTGCACAATCGTAAATCATCGACATGATTTACACGCGCTTAGTCGCTTAACTTCATGCTTCGTGTCGACAACGCGTTTAATTCTAAAACAAATAATCGTGTTTCACTACGATAATAATATACAATCTTATTTATCGGTTATTTTTTTCTTTTGAATTTATTAGGTACGTTTGCTGCAATTATCTCTTAACGAGATGCTGATAATGAGCAGAGATCGACGACGACGAATTTGTCAAAATGTTCGTAGCGTAGATAACATTTCCAAATTGTAAAACACTTGGTATAACGCTGTAATATAAAAGATATGTAATGTATTCTGATAAAATTCGGCGGATCTTACGATTGTCATCGCTCGACTTAATTACGTACAATTTGATCCATAATACGGTTTAATGACACCTGAGAGCACACGACGCGGTCTGTGGAAGGTGATAATAATTAATTAAGAGATGTTTATTTGACGTTACGTTTGTTTGTTACGTCAGAGTGACTAACACACCTTGCGAAGCGCGTCCTACGCATTCCCACAAATAGATACTACGCGTTTTCGAATTATCGATGTGTCAAGTAGAAAAACAGTTTGTAGAGATTAATACAAGTCAATTTTATATTTTTATTTGCAAAAATCAATATGAACATTAGGCGATTTTATTTTAACTTCTCGATACTGGCGTTACTTAAAGTTACATGATTCAAATATATACTTGAGCAAATATTCGAAATGACTTTTTATTTTATCATATACATATATATATAAAATTGTAAATTTTCTCTTAAAATATTAAAATTTACATAATTATAAATTAATAATTAGAAATAAATAATAGTAACAAATCTTTCGTTGCAATAATAGTTATAATAATAATATAATATTTAAATTTTATAGACTAACAATTTTGTTGTTGCTACGATTTTATATTAATTTTCTAGTTTTTTTATAATTTGTCTTTTACAATTTAAGACAATCGATGGAGATCTTTTGTTGTCGGCAATTTTTCGTCTTGAATAAAAAATAACGCATCAACATGCGCAACTTTATTTATTACGAGTCAGGTCGTGGCTTGTCGGGTGATGATAAGCTCGATCGAGTTGAAGTGATGGTCGTTGGTCGTTGATCTAAAAGAAATCCGAATGCAAAGTATAAAATAATATTCTATAAAAGGAGAAATTTCAATAATTAAAAAATATCGTTCAAAGCAATTAAATTTTATTAATAAATAAAATTATTACCTCTCATTAAGCATCATACTATGTTTTAATTTTACTATGCTGTAGATTTTGTGTGACTTGTGTGAACTTTATATCTAAAATCTCATTATCTAGAATCTCTTCAAGAAATGTTGTGAATAAAGAATGTTGAAATACCATCAATTTTACAAAAATGTTTTATGACCATATATAAATATAAAAAATACCATCATCAAAGCACATCTACTTTGTACATAATGTGAGAATCATATACATATGAATGTGAAGATATTTATCATTTCTTATAAAAAGATCTACAAAATCGGGATTTTTTTATTTAGCAGTATGTAAACGCATTCGCGTTCTAGAAATTGCTTGAATCGTTACGAAGCAAGTAGCAAGTACGCGATGGTGACCCTGCGGATTGACATCGATCAACGAAACTACAGCTGATCCATTCCGGAGGAGAGTCACTCGTCGATTGTTCATTCGAAAAGACAAGAGGATAAAGCGAGAGAAGTGGATATAATGTGTGAAAAAGTCATGAACTACAAATTACGAGATGAGAAAGACGATATGTTTATCCAACAGCTGATGAAAAGAGTTGCTGAACAATAACTCCGCAATGAGAATTTTATATATTTTATAGAAAAAAGCGAATTGATAAATGAATTGATAAATGTATTTTAATACAATATATTATAATGTAAAATGTGTATAACACATTGTATATCAAACAAAATTAAAAAAAATATTTTTACAGTCTTCACATTCAAGTTCATTTTATTGTCAATAGTGAGATCATGAACATTGTTATCATTTTATTGTTTCAGACTTTCAAGTCATCAAGTTGGTGCAGAAATTCGAAGAAAACGCACAAATCGGAAAGTTTCGCGATAAATTGAAAAAAAAAAATAACTCATACGGCAAACAACGTTAGATTCTCTCAGCAAACAGAGCGCGGTCGGGCAGAGGCTCTGATCGAGGAATAACGTCTTCGGGAGGCATTCTTTGAACAGCCGGCACGTGGCAGCGCTGACAGACACATCGGCACCGCATCGTGACGTTCGGAGGCGATCAGTAGAAACGCGCGCCGAACAAAAGAAACGTGAAACGAAATCGTCTTCTTCCGAACAAGCGCGCAAAAGGAGGAGCTCTCGAGGTCGCTTCGCGCGAGAAGTCACGATATCAGAGATAACATTTTGAAACTAATTAATCCGCGTGGCAAACAGACTTGTCGCTCTTACGACGTGTCTGTCGGGACAACATTGGCAGTCGTGATCGTCGGCTGCCAGTCGTGAACTACACAAATTTGCAAACTACCGCGGCTGGTCTCGTTATCGCATCGTCGAACGATTCCGCGTCTTAGTATAGACTCTAACAGCATCGTAGATGATAGTGAATATTTTTTACGTTTTCGACAACGAGACATGTAATTCGACAATAATATACATTCCTTTTGTAATAACATTAATACAGTAAGATAAGTGGCGTCTTTGGCGATGACGTGACGTTTTAACTGATAACTACTACAAATAAATTACTTGGAGCTGTTCCCCTCGAATTCATAGCAATCAGAAGATAAGTTAGAAGCTGAATATCTCCGAGATAAATTGAAAAACTATTACGGCAAGCATTAAGCTGCGGATGAAAAATCAGAAATTTAATTCATCTTTAACGGGAGTTTTGTGATGTATTAAGATCTTCAGGTGACAAATCACAAATTTGCAAGACGACGTGATCAGCACGAGACAACGCTAGAGGATAAAGAGAACGCGTCTCGTTGATCAGCATTGAGTGGTTCCAATTGAGAGTCGACCCTCGAGAGTGGAGCCTATTGGCCAAGCTGTTAATTCCTTGAAGCACGATTGGATTGGATCACCCGTGAACATTCCAGCGTTCGAGTCGGAACCGTCAGGCAATCTATCGACTACTGTCTTACTAGCCGGAGTTAGCTTCTCTTCCTGAAGAAGTTCTAAAGAAGACAAAGAATTTCACTCAAGATACAAAGGATTAATTATCTGTGAATGTTCAGTAAATATTAATTGATGAACGTATATATTAAATAAGAAGAAAGATCTCGAAGAAAAACATCTGACAGAATTGAAGCACATTAACAAAAACAGTGAATAAATCTTAAAAATACTTATTGAGATCAAAGAGGCTTATAAGATATTTTTTTATCATCTTAGAGATAAAACGGAATATTTTGACCATATTTGAGACTTTCGACGAATGGCCCACATTTACTGGCTGCTACTTTTTGAAAGACTCTGGTAGTGTCTCTTTACGTAGTAAGGAGAGCAGGAATACAATTCTGAAAAGGAGGAAGACGTGGGTATCGTGGAGAGGGTTAAATCCCTTTGGTCCCGCTGAGAGAGTATTCATCTTGCAGATTCTTCTTGGATCAGATTTTCTTTCGCCGTCGAGAAAATTTTGGGGAACACGGTGTACGAAACTTAAAGCTTCATTGACGTCATCCGCGAGAAGCCTCGTTCACCCCCTCCTGGATCGGGTTCTTTTTTTAGACGGCATCATGGAGCGAAGGATCATGAAAATGTGGTGATAACGGTCAGGCGAAGGCCTCCGATACCCAAGACACTATCCAGTGTGTGAGCCATAGTCGTTAGAAAGCAATACGTAACGTTGACCTTATTCCAGAATTTTGAAAATATCCACCAATTGGAAACTCTTCCGAGTTTTTACGAGAAGTAAATAGCACCTTTTAGGAAAGGATCACTCGTGTCTTTAACGGCATTTCTCTCGGTAAATAAAATTTTGAAAATTAATAGTAGTGCAGCTACTCGGATCCACGTGTAAGGAGGCGGGAAAATTTCGGAACTTCTGAGTTGATCTTCCATAATCACAAGCTCTTGATAAGATAATTTGCGTGTGTCACGCGGATATCCTTCTAATCCAGGAATGTTTTTGGATCTGCGGAATTGACATTCTTTCCTTCCTTCGGTCTTCGTTAGAAGACGATACTTTTTTCAAGTGGTTATTACGTAAAGTGGAGGAGACATCAGGGAGAGGACATCGATTGTTAAAACGTATAGAAGAAGGTGAGCAGATTATATTATTTAAAATTATATATATATTTATACGTATATAACATGTATACAACAAGCTATTTTTAGAAAATTTATAATTACGCAACAATACGAATCATAGAATATTACTCATAGACAATATTAATAATCTCTCTGATAAATCAAGGATTTATTATTTAAAAGAGAATTTATTATAAATTGTAAAATATCTCAAATTATCTTATAAAAGCGTGACATCATTAAACGAACTAAATTATAAAAACGAATTGATTATTGCGGAACCGCGATAGATTTACTTCTTTAACTTTAATTGATGTTAAGTAACCGGGAGATGTTGTTCTTGGAAGTTGCAAACTTTTTATTATTTAAAATATACGAAATAACCGCACTCACACATGCATGCATGCGCGCGCGCGCGCGCGCGCACACACACACACACACACACACACACATTTGAATTACAAGAATTGTATATACGAGTTGATGGTTACGATTTATTATTTTTAACTTATAACAAAAAATATTTTAGTGAGTAAACAATCACTATTAAAATTTTATAAGCAAAATATAATAGACTTGCTATTTCAAGGGATATGTCATCTTAGATACGAAATAATCTGCAATCGAGTATCATTTTTACTTCAGAATTAAATATCTATTATTCGCAGGAGAAGGTCCTCTGCCAAAACGGAAGCAGAGCTTCGGCACAACTAGGAACAAGATGCGTTGCAGCCAAGGCGTGGCGATGATATTCGAGGACGCGTTCGTCGTCTTTTCGCGTTTTTTGTCACTGAAGTCGCGAGGTTGCGCACTCTTGGAAACACACCGGCAGCGCGAGACCACCGGCATCAAAAAATTGTACAACAGCTTCTTCGTGATGTTCTAAGAAAGGGCGGATCAGCTCGTGCCCTGAAAATCACCGACGGTTGGGTGATGCATCGTGTATTTCCGGGTACATCGAAGATCTGAACCGAGGGGTACCAACAGGGTAGACGCAACAGCACGATCTACAACAGGCACGAAAGTTACACGCAGTGAAATGGAATGAGTATTTCTCGCAGTTACAAAACAATATTGTGAGACGGAAATCATCAGTCTAAGGATTTGTGGATTCGTCGCCTCTTACAGACTTGTCATCGAAAAACACAATCACGAAATTTATTTTTGCATAATTATATATACATATAGCACGTAAAGTAGTAAAGTTTGTAACTCGTAAGTCAAGAAATCAACTTTATCCTCTCATTCTTAAAGAGAAGGATTTGGCGTTAGGGAATTGACGAAATCTTTCTAAGATGGTCGACTAGTACCCTTCATAGATCTGAGATCCAAGATAGATATTCGTCATATAGATATTTGTCTTGCCCGGAAATCGCTGCAAGCAAACCAGTTAGTATCGCAGATAGATAGATTGTAGACGAGTAATTACCGTCCGACCGCGTGTGTTTTGGGACAAATAATTGAATGGAGCTGCAACTCATGATGGATGGCGGCACCGAAACCCTAAACGGAACGATGTGGTTCACCAATTCGTCTCCGTCATACGAGCAACTGTCCCCGGTTCGCCCAAATAGATGTGACATTATAGCCTCTTCCCAACAGGTAATATGGGTAATTGTCGTCAGATTTGTTCTAATAAATTATAAATGTTTTTTATTATATTACATAATTAAAATTAAATTTTAATTTAATATTAATTTCAAATCATAATACTATTTCATTTAATATTTAATTTTTTATATCTATTCTTTTCATATTTACCTACTATTTACTTATTTTTTTAACGATTATCGCGAACAACGTTTTTTAAAAACGAAGTTTTGCTTTCTTGGTAAAAAAATTTTTATTAATTACAGATTCATTTCGAATGATTATATTTTGAAAGTACTAAATGTTAAATATTAATGTTACAGACCACAATGGGATATCATAGCCCACAAAATTCTTTATGGCAAGATAAGCGCAACTCGCCAAAAAATTCACCGATTGGTGATGATCAGATACATTTGAACGGCGGCTCGCCACAACTTTCTTCTTCTGGATCATCCCCGAATTGTGAACAAAACAATTTGAAACGCCGTTCTACAGAATCACTACATATTACGGACCTTGAAAAGAAACATATCAGAAGAGATGGTTGGTATATTTTTTATTTATTCTTAAATATTTATATACAAGTTATTGCATACTATTTAATCTATACATGGATTTTTAATTTAAGTTTATAGAAACATTTGTTGACGTAATTAAATTTAAAGCATAATACCTTGCAATTTCTAGATTGATAAAATATTTCTTAATTTATCCATTCAACATATATAATAAAATTAAAAATGAATTTATCATATTAAGATTTATATAATCATTTTTTAAATTATAGAATAACAATAAATAGAAATATAAAGTTACGATCTTTCTTTAAAATATTTTTTTAACGAAATGTTAAGCTTAAATAGTAATCTTAAATTTCATTTTTCGCACAAGATATATTTATGTAGAATGTAAAGAATATGTTTTAAATATGCAATGGCGCAAAGTCGATCGTCATTATCGTGTAGTTGTTAACATAGATATATCTCCTTAAAGGTCGTGACCAAACGGCCTCTCGGACACAACACTGTCGTAGCCACGAGTTCCATTTTGCTACAGAATATTACAGGGTTTTATTAAGAAAATGTCTATATTACATTCTTGTTCTAAATTTTTAAAAAAAGCTTCTTTTGTGATAAATTCACTATCTCTACACGAATCTATAAGTGTTTTTCTAGCATTCATCAATATTGCACATAGATCATCGTTTCATGAAATAAAATTTTAAAATATGTAATTAAATATAATTAATTTATACGAATATTATATAACTACACAAACTTTTGATAAGCGATAATTAATTGATGATCACCATCAAATTTTAACTGCTTGGGAAAATGCCGAGAAATATTCAGCTATTAAAAGAGCATTCGAAATTATTTGAAATAATATTTGCGTTCGATATTGTTATTGTCGATCGACCAGTCAAGGCTCAAGAATAACGTGACATGCGTTTGGAATCTCTTTGAAGAACTTCTCAAGACTGATCAGTAAACTTCTGCATTCCGTTCTTTTTACGTTCGACGCCTTTTCACCCACGTGGTCATCCATGACTGATAACTTGAGTACATACACTCACAACAACGTATCGTAGATTAACTTGGCCGAAGAAAGAGGGAGAGAGATGTAAAGAGAGAAAGAGGGAAGTCCGATATTAGTTCGCCATACTGGCGGAACTTTGTGAAGGTGCACGCGTGTTTTGGTGGTGTGTTACTGCACGGGTGCAATTCTCATAGCGGCGAAAATAGGATGAAGTGGTGTGAGATTGAGAGATCCAGGGTGTCGGTATTCCAACGTCGATGTTATCCCTCTATCGCCACCAAGAGTCGACGCCGTCACGTCGCCCAAGAGATGAAAGATAGGCCTACCACGATGCATCATCAGCTTCATGTCGGCTACAACGGCGTTCAAGGCGGTACGATGCTGTATATAAGAAGAATGTTTCTACGTTATATGATGATTACTTCAGACAATGACTATGCGTGTGCGCCTAGCGCTTGAAAAGAGAGCAAAATAAAAATGAAGATGAAGAGAAGAATAGTAATATAAATCACGAACTTTCATACACAATTATTTCAGCACAAAAGAGATCTTTCTCTTCGGGAAGTGAAAGAATACTGTAGTATAAATAAAGAAACTAAATTTTATGTTAGACATTATTGCATAGATTTTTTTCTTTTTCAAAATGATATAATCCATTTTATTATCGTTTTCATAAAAACAAAATGTTTATTCTTAGATGTTATAATTAAGTGGAAATACTCATATAAGTGAGAAATAGGGACGATTTTAATACGTCTTGAATTTTTTTGGCATTTATAATTTACTGTATAATTTAGTATAGTAATATGACGCTAATGTAAAAGAAACATGAAACAAAAGAGGAAAGAAATTTAAGAACGTCTTAGAAAAAAGTTGTATCATAAAATTTGTTTGATTTATGCTTCAGGATCCATCGGAAGTAATGGCTCTGGTCAAGGTTGGTCCACGCAAGTGGAGGAACTCGCGGAGCATCTCGCCGCTGATTTTGATGGATCGTTATCCGCTCTCGCAGCATCTGATCTTGCAACAGCCGTCGCCTCTTATACTAATATGAGGTAAGGAAAAGAGAATCCTGAAAAAATACATCTTATTATTTTTAATAAAATGCCAAAAGGAAGATAGCACATTATCTTAAAGAATGTTTGTTAAGGAAAAGTCAATTTAGCATGTTGATCAAAGAATTGCATCGTAATTGTAAATGTGGTATATGCTAAAAAATATTTCGTAAAAATTTAATGGTAAAATGTTAGTTACGCGACCGGTTTTGATGACCGGTGTCTCGACGACACAATCGTCAAGAGTTCTCTATCGATAGAGTACAAATATTAAACTTATGGTCGGTACTATAGGCTTCTACTACGAATGAGATTGAAATATATGCACGGCAGCGAGCTGATCTGGAAAACCGGTTAAAACTAACTACAATTCTTGGCATTGCGTTGCCGGCGACATGAGAAAATCAAACCGATCGGCAACGAGGCACAAGTATTGGTGTGTCACTTTCAATGCATGTGCACGAGCTACGTGAAGCATCTAATAAGGATTGAAAAAGGAGTGCAGTCGATGGAACTTGCAAAATCTCTTTCATACTTTTTCGTGTGTTTGTAAAAACATAGTGTGCAATTAATAATATATGTTTAAATAAGACATTTATGCGTAATTCACGTTTAAATTAATTTTAATAATTTATTTAATTTACCATAACTGCACTTAAAAATTATATGATTATTATGATTAATAATATCTATAAACAGTTTTATATACGAACACACGGCTGAAATGACTACACATTACTTTATTATGATAATATATATGCGTATCAAATTCATATTATAAAGGATGTTGAAAGTCCATATGCTTTATATAAATATCAAGTAATTGAATAAGGTAACATTTCAGTAATCTTTTCATTTCTTTTAACATGATGATATAATTTGCAATAATTGAATTAAACTTTCCTTGGCGATTTTAATTAATTCAGTCACGGTTGATTAATTCTTTATTAATGCAATTTTGCATAGTTTAAAAATGTACCTTTTGCTATAAAAAAATTTCGGCATATAGTAAAAATATAAATATTTTGATTCGACATATTATCGAATTGTCGCATATATCAGCTGATCGTGTATGCATACGTAAACGTGACAGAGTTACGACATGTGACCAAAAAAAAAGTGTGTATCCGTGCATGAATGAAGATGCGCATCGAGTGCGTTCGACGTGGTTTGAACTGGTAAGAAACTAGCTGACGTACGAGTTCACGGGTATACATATAACCAGTTTATTCTTGGCACTGTGTTAGCATATCTCTTAAGAGGTTTGAGTCGCTATTATACCTGCAATCATCGTGAAATTCGTCGTATTGTTAGTCACATTGTCAGATGAATTGTCAGTATCGGTCCCGTTGTTCTAACATTGAATCAATCAAATCGGGTATACTGTCGAAAATTTCAAAAAGAAAATATAACATCTATCTGAATTAAAATAAAACAAAAAACAAAATCATTAAAATAGCTGCTAAAGAGTATAATACATATTATATGATAATATATTGTGTGTTACTGTGGAAGAGCGAGCTGCAAAATCATCTGAAAGTAACTCTTAATGCATATTATTTTAGCATCTTGCTTCAACTAATATTTATAAAAATTGTGATAAATTCTTGTATTTCAATATTATTTAAAAAGATTGCATATACCGGTATAATTTTACCGAATATATTGTCATTGTGAATATACTATCATTTTAATTTTATTCAAAATCGATTTCTGAATAAAGTGATTATTTAATTATAAAATAAAGGTATGCACCAATATATAAAACGAGGGTAAGTAATTCCATGAAACGGGTCTTATTTTATTATTTGTATTTTTATTAAAAAATAATTTATATATCATTTGCCATTAGAAAACTTGATATTTAAAGAATTTTAGAAATATTTGTTTGTGTTACAGCAAAAATGTATAATTTATGCGATCAGTCATACTTCGCGTATCTCAACTATTTTAATATCGAAGAATTGTAAATATAATTTCGGTAGTATTTTTGACTCGGTATCAATATTATTTCACACTGATTAAATCCATTGCACACTGAACCAGTTTATTCTGGTTCGCGCTGACCTTACTGACTCATGGCATTATCGTAGTGGTTCTCAAATTATTCTTTATCGCGTGTATGTCTATATTCGACACATTGCGAGATGATGTTAATTCCTAATCTTTATGCTATGGCGTGACCATTATGTGCGTGACCATTATGGCGTGATCATTATGTGCGTCAAATAATAAGTGCTTTTGATAGGAAAACATCGCAAATTACCTATCGACAGGTTGTTATTACAAAACGATAAATGAAAAACAGCAAATAACATGTTATTTTGCACCGAGCTTTGTTTTAATGGAAATAAAATAATTGTTGCAACAATTATGTAATAATTGCTATTAATTTGGCAAGAGTAGCAACGAAAAAAAAATGATGTAAAGAAAATTATAAAAAAGAGTTATTCTTAAAAAAGGAAAAAGTTGAAGATTTTGATAGATAATTGTGACAAATAATTTTCAAATTTATTCTCAGGAGTTATAGGCTATGAAATTTTAAAATAATAATTTTAAGAAAATATGAATTGTGTCATACTATTGAATGAATATTTTAAAAGATTTCTGGCACATGTTTATTTTTACAAAATGCAAAATGAGAAATCTTGAATGAAATTAGAAGAGAATTACCAATGCTGTATTATAAAAAATTCTATCTTCTTTCAGTGAAGCCCTCCTCACTTTGCCGTCGTTAACAGTCTTCAAACAAGAGGCACCGTCACCTGAGAATCAACATAACAATCCCAAGTAAGTCACCATAAAATATTAAAATTAATTTTTTTGCATGACAAACAACATTATGCAAGAAACTTATTAATGATTAATCTCAAAATTAGAATTTTATGTTTCCGAATTACATTTACAATTATCTATTCTTTTTTTTTTTATTTTACGAGTTGCATCATTTTTGCATAACACCGTCCGTTTAGGGCAAATGATAGAGAAGAGCAGCATTGATGACTGACGTTACTACGATTATAATATGAACGACGTCTATCTCTCTAGCGGGGCCAGTCAGGGGTGACGGGGGTAAAAAGTATTCCGAGCGGAATTTGCCACGCGCGGCTCCCCCGCAAAGACACGGTTGTAGATAAGGCCGCGGCTATATCGTTGCGCCCGTTCGCGGCTATCGAGAGAGTAAGTCGCTCGCGTTCGGGTCAGACTTCTTACTCACTTACGCGTATTTATCGCGCGGCGTGCGTTTCACTTCGTAAAACCGGAGTCGACCGCGCAATCGACTCGTCTCGATCGTAAACGTGAATGTCGCGGATCGATATCTCATCTCGTTCGTGTGGCTTCTGTAATACAGATATCGAGAGGGGAGATCTCTCTGAGTGGGACCGAGTGGGATTTTGTGCAACGGATAATGTGCTCGTGGAAGAAACATCGTAACGAGTTTTGTAGATCCTCGAAGATTCAAAGACTCAATCTCATGAATGAAAATAAAAAGAAGAAATATTTCGTTTCCTTCGAATTTCCAAATCTTTATAAGATTTTCATAGAATTGTAAAATAGTACTGGAATGAAATTACTGAACTTTACGTTAAGCACACTTTTTTCCTCGTTGAAAGAAGGCTCTCTTATTTTTCAAAACTGTTATTCCGTTCGAGCTCATATAAAAGGTTGCTGAATTAGAACTTGTTATCTGAGGCTGATCATCTGGATAAATGGAAAAGCAGGGAGGACTGTCACGTATAAATCGCGTGTGGTTATCGCTTTGACATATAAGGAGAAGATGAAATTGAGAGAGGTCGACTCGTTGCTCTTCGTTCTTGGTGTGGAATAGATTACATAAAAGATTTTCTGGAAGCAAAGAGTATCGAGAATAACTGACTAAACGAATGATGAAATCATTGGCCTAATAGATATGCTCGGTGTAGTTTCTTATTTGCAATTATATTTTTACAAGAGCAAGGTTGAAATCACGACAAAAACTAACGTTATCCAAGATTATATAGACTTTGCTTAAGTGTGACGTGTAAATAATAAGTTTTTGTGTTAAAAACTATTCGCGTTTGGACTTACAATCTGTGAGATTGAGTAAACGTTTCCTACTGAATGCCGAAAATCAGAATGAGAACACCCGCGGATTTGAATGTTTCACCGTCACTTTTCTTTAACTTATAGTGAGTGGCTCGCTATTAAGCATAGAATATTCTGTGTTACTCTGTGTTTTTCTTATTTGAACATTGGCATTGCGTACGAGATATTTAAATATATGTATCTTAGGAGAAAATTATTTCAGCTTGAATCATGTATCGCAAAGAGCGATCAACACAGTGCCGTCAAACAATGGAAATATCGGCTCCGTCGAGGCTGACAGCAACAACAATGGTCAAACCGCCGCTAGCCTCCACCAACTCCTATATTCTTCCAATGAAGAATATCCGCCGACCGCAGCCAATCATGTTTCTTCTTCTCAGCAAGGAAACGAATTGAACGAGGATTGCCGGTGTGCCATTAAATATTAATTAATTAATTAAATTAATATTTAATTATATCAATAATCTGCATTATGAGTATTATATGAAGAATTATATAACTTTTCAATTTTCAACCAGTACGGCTAACAAGATCTCAAAACTCCCATTAAAATCTACAATTAGTCGATAAAACATTATTTTGGCAAAATATTGTGTATTTGTTGTAACAATACAATTTTTTACATATTTTTTTTTTTATTTGAAAATGAAAGTATATAATAGAAAGTATACGTATATCGCAAAATTTTCTTTCAGGTTTCAGTATGTCTTAGCAGCCGCTACTAGCATTGCCACCAAGGTTAATGAAGAAACGTTGACGTATTTAAACCAGGGACAATCGTATGAAATTAAACTGAAAAAATTGGGTGATTTGTCTGCCTATCGCGGAAAGATTCTAAAGGTACGTAATTATATCCTTAAATATAAAAAGACGCTCATTTGGACGCTTCTAATGTTTGGGTAGCGGCATCTTCAAAAACGCTTTGATAATCCCCCACGAGGTAAACAAACGAGCTCAGGCAGATCATTTGAATCATAAATTTTTCTAAGTTGACATAAAAATAGCGAAATAATATAAAGCATTGAATAATCTCATACTGAGTTGTAAAGTTCATAATGAATCCTTACATAACAAATAGTATAGAAGATATTGCATAATTCTCACAACATAATTTCTCACAACTAATATAGTTCTTACTCAACTCGTTAAACTTGAAACGTTTTAAATCTTACAATACTGACTGAGTATTCAACTATAATTAATAATTATGATTAATGTTTTTACTGACAATTGTATAAATAAAACTAATTCTTCTGCATTGGTTCCTGGGGGTTAATTAGAAATAAAAATAAATCGTTATTAAACGAATATGAAATAACACGATCGGCGTGAGCTCATGGCATGTCCTCGACGTTCGAAAGATGTGTGTCACCCAAACTGTACTACAACGCCTCTGTAGGGACATTCAACCTTTCTGTTCCAGTCAACGATTCGCATTTGCTTCCACGAGCGGCGACTGCAGTACACAGAACGGGAACAAATGCTGGCCTGGCAACGTGCTAGGCCGGGAGAGAGATTATTAGAGGTTGATGTTCCTCTCAGCTATGGAATGGTAGATGTTTGTCAACCATCACCGTCCAACAACAGCGTAGAGTTTATGTGGGATCCCACAAAAGAAGTCGGCGTTTATATTAAAGTGCGTTAATCAGTTTTTTTAAATAATTTAGTTTGGAGATGTGATTAATTTCTCATTTTCAATAATTTTATTTTTTAATAGAAGAATAATAAAATCTATGGAATTTTACGAATAAAAGATTTGATTTTTTTTTAAATATATATTTACAATGATTTGATAGAGTATTATTCATGATTATTGTTAACATGTTTGCTCATTTTCAAATAGGTCAATTGCATTAGCACTGAATTTACACCAAAAAAGCATGGTGGTGAGAAAGGCGTTCCCTTCCGAATTCAAGTGGAGACTCGATTACCAGGAGGACCACGTCTGCACGCTGCCTCATGTCAAGTGAAAGTTTTTAAATTGAAGGGAGCAGATCGCAAGCATAAACAAGATCGAGACAAGATATTGCGACGTCCTCCTCACGAACAAGATAAATATCAGCCTAGTTATGATTGTACCGTCCTTTCCGATGTAAGTTTTATTGAAAAAACTTTTCTTATAAATAAAAAAAATCGAAATAACATATCGAAATCAAAATAAAAATGTCATTTCTCTAAATCTTAATTTTTTTTCTTTTTCTTCTGTTACAGATTCCTCTGGAATCTTTATCGCCTACAAATTTACCAACGCAAAATGGTGGAAGTCCTTACGCCTCCACAGATGCAATGTAAGTTAATTATTATATTTATTCGCTTTTGCTTCGCTTTTGCTATTTTTTAATTGTCGCGCTCTGAAGAGATAACAAATTAATAACGTCATGCGAAAAATTGCAAGATTCGGAAAAAATCACAAGTATGAAAGAAGATAAATGAAATAAAACATGCTACATATTAATAATTTAATATCATCAATGAAAAATAATATTGAAATATCATTTTTTGCAATAATGTATTTGCCAGTTTTGTTATATTACGTTATATTATATTACGTTTGATTTTATACAGACAGTACCAACATTTTATTTTGTTGAAATAGTTGTTAAAGTATCACGTTTTATTTTTATAATAATATATCTTCAATCAATATTGGTGATTAAATTGGTTAAATTGAGTATATCCCAAGATGTTGAGTAAAAGATAGGATAACTATAAATGATACTGAATGATTGCTATGATATATATATATATATATATATATATATATATATATATATATATATATATATATATATATATATTATTATTA